CTAATGCGTAGGAAATTATTGCTAGTTTGGCCAAATAACATTGGGAATTTATTTTTTTTATGCCTAACAAAAAAAAAACGACTGGAATTCTCAATGTTATTTGGTCAAACTAGCAACAATTTTCTATGTATTACTAGATGTTTTACTGGGAAAAGTGAAAATAAAAGAGGAATCTTTGAAATTTTTATGTAAGCAAGATATTTGGATTTATTCACAAAATAAGTTGTAAATTTGAAAAATTTTGAAGATTTCCGTGTGATGGTCGATCATTTAATGGACACAGTAATTTTAAAAGCACAGTAATGATAAGTACACATAATTTGATTGATCTATTAATATTATATGCAAATTATTTTTCATAAATGAATCTCTATAAATATATTTTTACCCAACAAAGTGCATTTATTGTAAGTTGACTGTGTTGGATTTAGAAAATCTACTCTTATTTCAAAATAACGCACATGAGAGTATCTGAAATAATGTGCAAATCAATTAATCAGCGCGAGGTAGGCATATACAGTAAACAGAATTTTGGTTAATATTAAGATTAATATTGAGGTTAAGATTAATATTAATTCAAAATTTATAAAAAGAAAATTTAATTTTCGGCCGAATTAATTTTGATGATCATTGGCCTAAATTAGGTAAATGCAGGCCAACTGTAGTATTTAAATATGTTACTACAAAAATTATCTATCTAATTAATGTTACTTCTAATTAAATTACTATATGTAAAACTGTGCTCTCGCATTTTTGTTAGTGCATCAAGCTTGTTTTTTATATATGTAGACACAAATTGATGCTAAACTATGTTTATAATTTATTCGATTTATCACATTTACAATAGTCTACGTAACTTGCAAATGCCAATAATTTTATGATTAATCAATTATATTATAAATAAATTTTCTCTTATAATAATGAATATGATTAAAAACATGATAACTGTCACAGATCATAATTTAGAATAAAATCTATATTTTCTATTTAACCTTCTAACCTTCTAAAACCCACTTACACTTGTTTAATATAAAATACTCTAACCCTAACCCTAACCACTAACCCCTAATCCTAAAAAATAAACTCTAAAAAAATTTATTTTTCGAAATTTTATACTATAATTTCATTTTAATCTGGATTTCATTATAATCTGCCACAATAACTATATTACACAAACGCGTAAGCATGAATGTTTTATCACACCAAGTACAAATATACCGTAGACGCGCGGCGTTACAGACGGAAAATGACGTTTTGACATTTTTATTAAAAATGGGCATAAAATGACAACATAATCAATTAATTACAGGCGGACCATAACCAATAGAGTATCGATTTTTATTTATGTATTTCTACGCGAATTTCGAATAATTGTTCATTTATTGTGTGCATATTAGATATAACTATTAGACCTAACATAACGCTTTTATTCAAATATCCTGTCTAGTAGTTAAATCATTTAATTTTCTTAATGAAAATAACGAAGTTTTAATAATTTATAGCCTTTAACAAATTTGATTGATTTTTGAGTTTGATACTATTGACTAAAAATAGGACTTATATTTTGTGTTTGATTATTATCCCAAATGAGGTAGAAATTCCGATTCCCAAACCCAAACTATGTAGAAATGTCATAATTCAAAAAGGGTCTGGGTCGCAACACTAGATATTAGCCAGAATATGCGCTTCCACCGGAAGGACCATGACTACCAACTGAAGGAGGATGACTTCCAGCAACCGAACTAGTCGGAGTTCCAATCCCCGGTGCGCCAGGAGCACCTGCACCAGTGGGTTGATTATAACCGTACGGAAAGTATTGCCCATACGCATCATATCCACCGTTATAAGAATATTGTTCCCAATTAGCGGTAGGATGTTGTTGTTGACCTGCGACTACCGCTGCAGCAGTAGCACCATCAAGAGATGCTAAAGATGGCGGTGGCGCAGACATGCCGGGTGGAAGATCATACCCGCTTTCATTTACAGCTGCGGGATAAGGGTGTGCGGTATGATTACTATAATATCCGTACGGATAGTTGTAAGCCGTATTTGGCACACCATATGTATGGTAAGAAGCCGTGGCTTGTTCTGGTGCCCTATCTTTTCCCCATGAACACTGAACGTAAAGATGAAGATATTTATTAGTAACTTTATCGTAAAAGAAGCGTCTATTCACTTAAAGTTGTATTGTAAAAAGTTACTTTAATAATTCGTCCATTGATATTCGTATTTTGCAAATTTACGATTGCATTCGCAGCGTTTTCATGAGAATCTAGTCTAAAATCGGAAAGAAAGATCAATACATTGAATGAAACAAAAACATTCCACCGAACTTACTTAACAAAAGCAAAACCACGATCCGCTTGCATGCGAACTTCGATGATATATCCGAAAGATTGGAAGTATGGTATCAAATGATCCTCTGTCAGGATAATAAATATATCAATAATAATTCAATTAATACGTGGAGCCTCTATTAAGAAACTATTTGCTGAAGACATACGTGTAGTATAAGGCGGTAAATTCCCAACATATACGGTACTATTATAGTGTGGTGTTTGTGCAACAACGATTTCGTAGGATAATTGAGGCGTTTGTGTGGAGCCTAAGTTGTAATTCCAAAAATATTAGCGAATAGTATAATACAAATTTTGAGCAAAATTTACCCCTTCTACCTTGTCGATCTGATGTGCTTCCAGGACCCGGTTGTCCTTTTTGATTGGCCCAATTACACCGGATAGCACGACTTCCAAGCCATTCCCCTATACAAAATTATTTGTAAAAAAAAAAATATTTACATTTCACCTTTAACAGCGAATCGTGCTTGATCAGCGTTGCGCCTTCCAACACTCACCATTCATTGTTGCGATGGCTTGTTCCGCATCCTAATGACCATTACAATAATAAGCGAAGTGTATTGCACAATTAAAAAATCGAGAACACAAATATTATCTGTCAAAGCAATAATATAAACACATCAAACCTACCGTCTTATCACGGAAAGCAACAAATCCGTATCCCCGAGATTTTCCAGAATTAACATCCCACATAACACGGGCATCCCTAGTGAGTGATATATTTTGATGCGTTTCCACTAGTTAAATTTTACAATACTACAGTTGATCAACCAATACGCTTATGTAATATGAAAACTTACGACATGCTTCCAAATGCGCTAAATGCTTTAGCAAGCACTTCATCGTTAACTTCAGGACTTAAGTCCCCAACAAAGATATGATAATGATCTAAAATTAATGAAACCAAGAGTAATAAATGCAGTTATGCTTATAAGCTTGACATGATCTAGTTTGAAATTGAATTGAAATGCATACTTGATGTATCTTCTTTATGACCTTGTTGTCCTTGAAATGCCCAATTCACCTTAATTTCCTGTTAATATTAACAGCAACCAAAAAAAAAGGAAAAGAAAAAAAAGAGAAAAGAAAAGAAAAAGCATTTAATAATAAAACATCAGAAATAATGTTGAAGATTTATTCGTACTACAAAAGGGAAAAGTACCATGTTGTATATTTTTCTTCCATTAAGTGTTTGAAGAGCTGTTTCGGCTGAACGGTGGTCGTTGAATTCCACAAAGCCATAATTCAGCCCTCCGTGTTGGTACTAACGTAAAAAAAAAAAAAAAAAAAAAGAAACAGAGATTTCTATAAGTGATCAGATTCAATGATAGACAGAAAAATACACAAGGCATCCATATATCTAAAGGTTTAAGAGATCAGCCTACGAGCCAACTCGGTAACTTTTGTCTTGACAATACACTGTCGCCCCACACAAAAACACTAGCTGCAAAAAAGTTATATATAGCTGGTTGATCAAACAAAGTTAGGCAATTTTTGCAAAGATAAAAAAAAATAAAAATAAATAATAAAAAAATAAAATAAAAATAAAATAAAATAAAGCCACCACAAAAAAATAAATAAATAAAAAAATAATAATAAAATAAAGTAATAAAATAATAAAATAAAATAATAAAATAAACAAATTTATAGGAAACAAATACTCATAATACCACAAGGAGAATTAAATAAGTAAGCAAAATATAAAAATATTGAGGGAAGATAAAGGATTCCAACCTTTGAGCTGCGTCATATATATATGGAGCGCAACTCGAGTGTCCAGCAAGGCCAGCCATTGCGGGGTGACTCCATATTAGACCTCGTTCAAACAGTGCCTCGTTTCAAGAAAAAAGCAATACTGCAAATCATCACACCACTGAAGGTGGCAAGTCCAAGCTTCAACCTAAACCCTTAAACCCTCACAATCGTTATTGGCTTGTCCTGATCTTAAGGTCAACTCACATTTTTATCAGGAATGATTTTCGTATTGTTCACGGATCCTGCTACTCCAAAGATCTCATGAAGCATGCTGTCCGTTACCCTTGGATCGAGATTACCAACATAAAGACTTTTACAACCATCGTCCGTAGCCATCTTCGCTAGTATGTTCGCCGTTATGGTGGTAATTTTTATTAAAAGAACTTAATTAGTTTTAGATTATTGAAGAACGTAGATTATTTTTTATATTATTAAGAAGAAAAAAAGTCAGCAATTTATGTTACGGAAATAGTTTTGATTGGTTCTTTATTTAAAAAAATTACGGGTGCTACACAAATTTGATTTCGAAATAATGCAAGTGGCTTAGCAATATAACCTTTTTTTGTTAATGCTAGAACTTTAAAGAAACTATATACAGTATTTATATACAATATATTCGTTTTTTTAAGCAATTTATCAATAAACCACAGTTGTCCTCCTCTACAATCACCTTCGATATAGTTACACCCTCTTTATAAGCACCATTTTTTGAAAAATTATTGGCAATTTAGGCCAGACCAACTTGATTTTTTGTTTAATATAACAAAATAATTGTAAAAATAGGCATTGAAAAAAAAACCACAAAAATATTAATACTGCAATTTTATTGGTTGATTTTATATATGTTATATAAAATTTAAAAAATTATAAAGTAAATACTGTATATACTATTAAATTACTATATATATATACAATATATTAATATATATATTGTATATAATATAGAAAATTGGTTTTTTTTTTTTTTTAATTTCAGCAGTCTTGCCAATACTTTATTAAGCTTTGTAGATTTTAATATTTTAAATACAAAATTTTCAAGTAGCTATTCTACTTGATACCTAAGTTACAAATATTAATTTACCTGGTTGTTCAGAGAATATCTATGTGCGATCTGTTATAGTAAGATTTTACTTTGTACTAGTTAGCTTTATTTCAGGCTAGCTAATATGTTATAGGATGGTTTTTACGGCCTGTCAAAACTGCTTTCACTTCTTTCACCATTCTAAATGCTATTTTTTTTTGATACAAACTTCTAGCTCTTTTTTTGCTAGTATTAATATTTTATCTTGGCATTCATTTTTCTTTTTTCTATATAATATAGAAAACTAGTTTAGTTAACTATATTACTTAATATACTATAAAAAGATTAAAAAAATATATATACAAAAAAATAAAAAATTAAATACAAATAAACTCAAAATATAGAATATATAAAATATAGAAAATAGAGAAGAAAATACAGTAAAAATAAGATAAAACTTCAATAAAACTTAATAAAAAAAGCATATATATAGTACTATAGTATATATAGTTAATAATATCATAGCTTAACTTTCTTATATGATTTTTTCTAGAAGGTAATTTGCAACTAGTTAGTATATTATAAATCCAGTAAATTATTAAATAAAATATCCTGATTACTATATTAAGATCACAGAGTATTAACATAGGTATAATTAAATTAATGGAAACCAATATTGAAGAAAAAGAGTGTTCTTTTTTAAATAAAAATTGGAGCAACTATAGATTTTTTTGGTCAAAGGCAGCAAAGAACAAAAAGAAAAGATCAGGAGTAGCACTAAGTATTCGAAGTAATTGGAAGAAACATCTAGATAGTATAAAAACTGATGAGGAATATATATATATATATATATATATTTTTTTTATTCCTTAGACAGTCTTGTCGGAGCTCAAATACAAAATTATCTTATTACAGTAAGTGAAAAACTACTCTAATAAAAACTCTAATTTTAAAATTGCAA